TCTACCAGATCTGTCAGAGGACTGAGAACATTCTAACATTCTGAACACATCTGTCAAAAGACAAAATGGAAAAAAAATCTGGAAACTTAAATCTCTCCCCAAGCAAATCCACCAACCCATAAGGACTTTTAAAAATAAAAAACCAAGCTATGTCAATTTCATGGTCCCTTTCAAACATGAGAGTCCATAATGTGTCATAATCTCACATGTTCACAAAGGACTTTTTTCGGTTGTGGGGGTGAGGGCGCTACTAACAGATGTACAGGAAACAAAACTGTACCAAACTTCTAGAAAATTACATTTCCTAGAGATTTATTAATCAAAATGAACACTATTCCAATTTTTTCTTACGATTTTTATGACACCCTTCCTCTCATTATAAAAAATATATATACACATACATGTAGCACATACAGTACTTTCATAGTATTTATTTTTACAGTACAGTATATGTAGTAGTATGTAATGGTATATGTATAAATTTCATGTATTATAAATATAATATAGAAATGTTATAAATACTATATGTAAATAGCACATATATGATATGTACTACATACTAAATTTATGTACATATAACACTGAAAAAAAATTATGGAAAAGTATAAAGAAAAACTACACTCATTTTCACCAACTGGGATTTATGGTATATCATAAATATATTAGACAATTAGTTCTGGCATTACTGTTGCTAGTTTTTTTTTCCCATGGATGCTAGTATTGTATTTGAAACCTTTTTTATATAAGCGTGTGTGCGCATAATTGTATATTCTTTTCACTTAACAAAACCAGCTTTTCCCAACGTTCTAATCTACTCTCTGTAAACATTACTTTAATGACTGCACAATACTCTACCGTGTGACTGCTCCACAACTGACTGCCTGCCTCCTATTGGATGCTTAGGTTGTTTCTGGATTTCTGTTACTACAATTAATGCTACAATGGGGACCTTTTGGTCAAAGTCTCTTTCTCATTAATAATGCCAAAATATTTTCTAAGAGTGTTGTACCAATTTACACTCCTGCTACCTGTATGAATATACTGTTCGCCATTCTTCTACAGCAACGACTGGTCTCGCTTTGATTCATATTTATTCAACTATTCAACTATTTCCCCCTTTTAATTTTTTACTATCAAAAATTCCAGATACACTTAAAAACAGAATCACCCAGATTCAAAAAATTAAGATTGGCCACATTTTCTCCATTTATCTATCCCCTTCTTCGCTGAAGTATTTTAAAGCAAATCCCAGCTATTGTGTCATTTTACCCCTACTCTGTAACACTCTGTCATAGAACTACAATGCTCCAACATGCCTAATAAAATTAACAGTCATGCTCTGGTGTCACCTACCTTCGTTCTATAATCAAATTTCCCTGAATGTTTCCAAATGTCATTTTATGGCTGTCCGAATTGGGATCCAAAGAAGGTGAACGCACTGCATGTGGTTACGTCTCTTAAGTCTCTTTCTAGTCCAGAGCAATTTGCTTAAAACATCCTTGGTATTTTTCCCACGCCATCACTGACTTGCTGTGGTCAAGGGTTTAGCCGTCCGGCAGAACGTCCCACACTCTGCCTTTACTTATTTGCTTCCTTCGGTGTCACTTAATTTGCTTCACCAACTCCTGAATTTCCTCAGAGATTACATCCATGCTCAAATTTTTTGAAAGAATATTTAATAAATGACGCTACATGCTTCATACTGCATCCCATCAGGACATGTACAATGCCTGGTTACTCCACCTCTAACGAAACTAGGATCAATGGGCTGAGGTAGTATTTCATCTTGTGAATTGTGCATACTTGCTCACTAATACTTTAGTGTTTGTCTAATGATTAAGTTTTATATGTAAAAATATTATTTTGCCAACATTACAAATCTTTCCCCATTTTGTACTTTGTTACATTTTAAAACATATCATTTAAAAATTTAGCCTGTTAAAGTAAAAGGCACTCTCCACTGCCATTTTTTCAACACAGAAAGTCCTTTAACCAGAGATTTAAAAAATTGTAACTTACTTTCTTAACATTCAGTTGCATAATCCACTTAAAATCTAGTGAGGAATAATATGTAAAGTCGAGCTCTAATCTAAATAGATTTCCTTTTAATTGTTCTAATATCATAATTTCTCTTTTCCTCACTGATTTACTGTGCTTCCTCTAGGACGTATTTAACTTTTTTCTAGGCTGCAAATTCTGATCCACTGATATTTTTACGTTACACTGTATTATCTTCAAAACTGTAACTTATCTTCCCTAATTACAACTATAGTTCAAAACATTTCTTAATTCTATTCTTAGTTGCTTACTCTTCCATGGTTCCAAAAGAGGAGAAATTCTGGCATTTTTAATGTGAATTATATTCAGCTGATATATTAATTTGAAGTATTCTATTAATACCTACGAATTGTTTATACAGTATTCTTTACTGCAACAAAGCATTGATATTTATGAATTTATGTTCAACATTCCAAAATACAATAAAGGTCTCTCATATTTTCTGTTAGGGTATTCCTAGATATTTCACATATTTTATTGCCTATATGACTCATCATCCCTCTCAGTGCTAACTTCTCTGAGTAAACTGATTCAGAAGTTTGTTGATAGTAGATAGTCTGTTTTTGTCTCTCTAGATATCTCTATCTGGTTCTTGAAAGTAGTTTTGTTCTGTATGCAAATCTATGCTGACAGCTATTTCCTATCCTCGCTACACAAATATGTTCCCTAACTGCCTTCCAGCTCCACTGCTGCTGTGGAGAAGTCTGTTTTCAGTCTAACTGCAGTCCTCGTGTATGTGATCTGCCTGTTTGGCTGCTTTATTATTTTTTAAAATCTGGTAAAATAACATAAAACTTGCCATTTTAACCATTTTTTACATGTACAATTACTCACTGGCACTGATTATATTCACAATGTTGTACGACCACCACCACTATCTATTTCTGAAAATTTTCATTACCCTAAGCAGAAACTCTGTACCCATTAAACATTCAACTCCCCACGACCCCTTCTCCCCAGCTCCTTATAACTTCTAATCTACTTTGTCTCTATGAATTTGCCTATTCCAGATATTTTATATAAGTGGAATCACACAATATTTGTCCTTTTATGAATAGCTTATTTAAATGTAGTGTTTTCAAGGTTCATCCATGTTGTAGCATGTGTCAGAGCTTCATTCCTTTTTTAAAAATGTGGTAAAATATACATAAAATTTACCTTCTTAGCCATTTTTAAGTACACGGTCTAGTTGTGTTAAGTACATTCACATTGCCATGCACTCAATCTCCAAAACTGTCTCGCAAAACTAAAACTCTGTCCCCATTAAACATCTCCCATTCCCCCTACAGCTACCATTCTACTCTGTCTCTATGCATCTGACTCCTGCAGGTACTTCACACAAGTGGAACTGTACAATCCTTGTCCTTCTGTGACTGACTGGCTTGTCCACTTAGCATAACGTCTTCAAGGTTCATCTACGTCACAGCCCGCGTCAGAATGCTCCCCTTTGTAAAGCTGAATGAGGTTTCTTTTTATGTATACAGCATGTTTTGTTTATCCACGCGCCTGAAAACTGTCACTTGGGTCGCTTCTCTCTTTCGGCTATCGGTGAAAACGCTGCTATGAGCATGGGTGTGCAAACGTCCGTTCGAGTCCCTGCTTTCAGTTCCGGGCACACATCTGGAAGTAGAACTGCTGGATGAGAAGCTAATTCCACGTTTAACTTTCTGAGGACCCATCAAACTGTTTCCCTCAGTTCTATCATTTCACCTTCCTACCAGGAACGTGACGCTACTCCCCATCCTCTCTGGTTTTATTTTCTTTAGAGATCATAGTAGGTGTGAACTCTGCCTGCTCTTTGAAACTTTTTGTTTTCTAATTTCACTGCAATGACTGGGTGTGAATTTCTTTTTTATGTGTCCTGCTTACTGGATCTTGTGCGTCTCGTATCTGCAGATTTGTGTTTTTCATCACTTTCAGAGAGTTCTCAAAAGAACTCCGAAGTCCTCTCCTCCTGGCTGCTAACCGGATGTTCACGACCCTCATATTCTCTTCACGTTCCCACCGCCTTCTCCCTGTTGCTGCAATCCTAATTTCTTCGGGACTCTCTTCCAGCTTCATCTTTTTCCTTTCTAGAATCCCTGTTGGTTCTTTTCCGAATCTGTCTAAATATCTTATCCGTTTCATCTTTCATTAACATTTCTTACACAGTTGGTCTACATAGCCTGGTAGTTCTAAATCTGAAGCTCGCTGTGAGGGGTCTAAATCTAGTTTCCTTCCCAATGTGTCTGGTGTCCTCTGTGAGCAAGTATTTGTTGATCTTTATCGATGGGATTCCTGGTGCTCTAAGTAGGGAGTGTGTTCCCGTTCCTCAAGAGAAAATCTAAACCTGAAGCCAGGGCAGCTTGTGACTCGAGACTGCTGCTCCACTCCCTCTCGAGAGCCCC